TCTTATACTGAAGGACTGAAATTTACTGAATGCTTTGAAATACCGGGTGGCTATTAATGATTGAAACAATTCTGAATTATTGGGAACAATGTTACCGTGTCAGTACACAATTGTCAATTTTGAATAAGCTTCTCTAAAAACCCAATAAATATGTTTCCAACCTGACAAACAAAATCACAAACATTAATACTTAGTCACTTGGTATCTGTGTTAATTTTGATACAAAAAATAATAACTGAATAATCAATTATTCTTAAAAAATGGGTTGTCCCTTAATTTGTGTGTCCTGAAAAATTTAGTTTTTGAACAAGTAAGTACTAAGCCGACAATTTCTCAAAAAATATCCTGTGATCTAAGTTGTAATTTTAACAGGATATCCTGATTGCAACGCCGAATTAATTCGATATGACTAAGAATGATTTGCTTTTCCGTCTTTTAAAAGGTAGGTAAGAGTTATTTTGAGCAATTCATCAAAAATTTCAATTAGTGTGAAACCTGTAAGGGAAATCTAGGAGTTCCAGTCGCAGCGTGTAAAGAATGTAACTTTTGAAAATCTTGGCTTGGCGGTACAATTATCATGTTGACAATACAAAGACGAAACATAAAAACATGAAAGATATAAAATTTCATTATATGAAGAAGATAAGTCGATCTTGCAAGTGTAGATCTGAAAACAGCCACATAACCAACAGAATTTAAACTCAATACTCACTTTCCAATACTTACGGTTTGAAAGTTATTTAAAAAGATTACACATGGTAAAATAAGTTTACTAATTTGTTTTTTAGGGTTCTTATGATGAAAATCTATAAATAAATTTATAGCAACATAAAGTTCTAAATTTTACATTTTTTTTTCAGACCTGTCATCTATCTACATTCTCTGCACTTCAAATTTACTTCGAAAATGCATTCATCACATTATTATTGACGTGTCTTAAAATTGATAGGTATCATTATAGTTAACATGACATCTACTTACAGTATACATACATTGAGGGTAATTTGAATTACTTAATATTGAAATTAAAGCAATTAAAAATAATTGTAACCTATTCCTATAAATGTGTTTTATGTATATCAATTGTTAATTTTCATCACTCGACCCATAATGTATGTACATTGTACATATTCACCTATGAGTTGTGTATGTATTTTAAGTTGTGGTATTTGATTCATCTTATACTTATTTGGACCAGATGTGCATGAATAGCACTAAATCTAAATAAAAACTAAAAATTTTGCATTAAATAAAAGAAAATAAGGTCATGATGACAGGAAAATAGGTCAAATGCGTAATAAATTATGTAAATTGTCTTAAATATCTGTATCATATATTTTTTTATTTAAGACTGTAATTTGTTAGTAGTTGTAATACTAACTAAACTACTAATGGCAAACTCGATCAAATGTACGGCAACTGATGTTATACGTTATTTACAATGTTTATTATTGTTTATAAGGAAAATATTTTCAAACAAACTAGAGAATTCAAGGTCCAGACGAATTTAAAATGTGTCAAGTCTTGAAAAAAGTTTTCCCTATTTGAATTTAATTTTTAAAAAAGTTTGTGATGAAAATACAAACAAGTTTCCAAAAGGTGTTGGTTAATAGAGAATTTCCGTAATTTATTAAAGCATATTATAACATAATATTTGAGTTTAGGCAAAACAAAAAATATTTTAAATATTTTTGAAACCGTTTTTCTGTTTATTGTTACTCGAGAACAAACCGCTCCTTAATGTACTCTACACACTTCAGTACCTACCTTCCACTTTCAAAATATCTAAGCTTTCAAAATCCTTAAAGATAATCTAATAGAATAAGTCTTTTCAAAGATACATATTTGCAATATTTTGTAATTACAATCAATCAGGTAATATTGTCGTTACTAACAACAAACCGACTTTTGGGGTGCGTATTTTTATTTTGTCGTCAAATAACCAGTTTTTTTATACTCTTCTATCGTTAATGAATGCTTTTTTCCCAGTATGCATACATTTACTATATTGTGAATGTCATATATTGGACATGTCTCGCTGAACCGGGCTTCTACCTATTCTGACGCCTATTTTATGGTGACAGTAGTTTCTTTTTCCGTTTGGGTAAAAAATTATCACACCAAATTTGGTGTGTAGAATACCTGTTTTATCGAGCGAATAATTTCCATACATAAATAAAATCTTCACGCAATTTCTTTGCTTATACTTGAAATTCAACGAACATTCAGTGAATTAAAAAAATGCCGAAGCTTTGCCTACATATACGTTTTCAAATTTTGTATTCGTTTTATTCACTATCTGATATGAAACAAAACTGTACAGATATGATGAATAACTCATTTAACAAAACTTATTAGGATTTCTTCTAAAGTCTTATTCCAAATTAAATTACATAATATTTCCAATTGCAAGAAATTTGACGATATAATAATAAGAGATTAAAAAAAAAATACATAAAAAAATTATATTACGTTAAAATTTCGATACGATATTTTTTGAGGGTCAGGATATTTACACACAAATAAGAGAAAATGAAGTAGAATGTTTTATGGACTCGTAAATAAGCACATATTTTGTTGAGGCGGGTCAGTGTTCGATCTCGAAACCTGTTTAGGACCTTCTTGTATCGCACGAGATCCTTGTCTGGCTAGCCGAGTCTCCATTCATTTGCAAAAACGTTTTTATTTTCAGCGATGTCCAGTTCCGATAGGTCTTTAGATGGCATCACAACAGGATCGAAACCCACTGAGCTTTCCATCACATAATTTAAACAATCACATAAAACGAACGAAGTCAAATTACAGGAGATTTGTTCTCTTCAAATGGTCGGCAATAAAAATGTTATTGCTCTTAATTACTCAGAAGTGTAGCTCATATAAATAATGAAAATGTACAGGAAACAAGGGAATGTTGTTCTAATGCGCATACGGAACGCGGCTTCGGGAAAAAACCAGAAGCATTAAGAGATATCCCTACCTTGAATAATTAACTGGAATTTTCAGAAATGCAGCAAGAATTAGCCTTTATAGCGAGGACTCGGAGAAACGTTTCTTTGCACGTAGGTACAAAAAATAAACAGTAGAGTTTTCACGGTAAACTGTGAACACTCGAAGAACTTGACACCCCGATATTATTTGCTTAGTGTTGCTCATAGTTAATGTGGGGTGGCTCCAAAATAAAACTTTGGGCCGGTATCCAATTAAAGTTAATTGTCTTATAATAAAAATTAAAATGGTTTATAGGAAATGTTGGCCCAGAATTAATAACCAAAGTATATCATCATGGAATTCATTAATCAAAGCATCCGTCATAGTTCTCTGTAATTTGTGGCTAGCAGTTTAAAAATTCAACAATCTATAAGAATTAAAGCAAGTAGCCGAGGCCGGTGCTTAGCAATAATTACGAATTTGTGAACTCCTAAAATTTAAAAATGTAAACTATTCTCGAACGGCGCCAAATTATTTTTTTACCTGGCTGCTGATTACTCCTAAAAATATCTCTTCAGGCCGATAGCTTCCGACCCACCTCTGCTTCTTGTTTTCGTGGAAAACAAATTGTGGTAGAGGCAGTCGGACGGATGCATCAATCAAAATGCAAGGTATATTTTCAATGACAGGTCAAAATTTAGGTTAGAATAGGACTTTGTTTATAGGCTGCTCGCCGTTTTAATGACGCCACGCCGCAGAATGATTGCGAAATTATTAGTATTAGAGAGGATCCTCCGCATATCAATTTATTGTTGATTTATGATTATATTTTTATTTTTTAACAGAGTTGAATGCAATGTGCTTTTTTACTAGCTTTATGTAGATGTTATTTAAATTGAGGTAATTTTTATCTACAAATTACCGACTCGAATAAAATAATTAAACATTTCCTTTATGAAAATGTGCGAAGGGGGAGATACATGCGAACGATTTACCTGCTATAAAAAATTATCTTTTCATGTTATTAAGACATGCACGCTATTACAAAATTGTTTGACAACAGGTGGTGCTGCCGCGTAATTATCCAGACCTAGAGCGGCGGAATTTACACTGAAAAAAAGAATAAGGTGTATTTAAAACTGTACTTTTTTAACACAACTGTACTTTATTGGTGAATAGAACTGTTAACTTTTTACAGAAGAAAATCATCATAGAGCGTGCTGATGACGTAACTTGAAATACCAATTAGCATTCACGACAAAATATCAGATTTAAATGAAAAATGTAAAAATAAAAATTATATCGACATACTTAATTTTTTTTATTGTTTAGTGTGTCGCGTGTAATTAGCATGAATACTACTAATACTAACAGAAAAATAAAACATAACCAGGAATAGGTACATTGTACCAGATAAGCATTTTATCTAATGGAGTGAGCCGTTCCTGATTTAATCTATTAGATTGAATGTACTCATTCACTTATTTTTTTTGACTGACCTGTCTAAGCAAATTTAAAAAATACGAAGTGCTAAAACTCGTCACATTTTGGGTAGTCGGCAAAATTTTGAAATGACGTCATCAATTTTTTAATTATAAAATATATTTTCATTAAAAAGTGACCATGCTTATCATAACTTTAAAACATCTGCAAGATTTCAAAGCATTCGGATTTTTGTGAAATAATTTCTTCCAGTGTAAATCTTGACTTCAGGTCAAAATTGTTCTACCAGTACTCCTTCCCAGACATAAATGTTATCAAAGCTTTCCATCATTTTTCTGTTCCCAGTCATTCCCACTCCATTGAAGATTTTTATTCTTTTGCACCAATAATCATCATTTACTTCCTCCCATCAACAGGTACAAGGCGGCTGATCGCATCTTTGACGACGTTTTTGCTTAATTTCTTTTTTTTATATTCCTTTGTTAATTGTACTACATACTTTCAGTTGATTTATATTTGTGAAATATTACTTTATTTATTTGTCCTATAATTGGTTATTCCGTTGGACAATAAAGACTTTAAATAAAATATGTGAAATAATAATAGCAAAAATATTTACAATGGTTTTATTAACATCTCATTATATTAAAATCGTCGTTTCTTTGAATAATTTTTTTGCGAAGTGGTCCAGCGTCTTTATCCTGGTGACGTTTCCTTTTTTCCTGGGTTTTAAATGGCTCTGGAAACTGTGTCCGAAGAACTTTGCTGGCGTTGGAACCAAACAGTCTTCCGGATCCTTTCCTGGTTACAGAGAGTAATAGTCCCGGATTCAGCATCTCCTCTCGGCGTCTTCTTTTTTCCAACACTAGTTGGTCCTTGACGGACTTCCTCAAGACTGGATCTCCTTGGGTGATGCGTTCCCACAAGTCGTTGGATCTGGCAGCAGTCAGAAGCGAAGAAGGGTCCAAACACCTGAAACAAACGAAATATTAGTACAAAAATAATAGCAAAAATAAAAGTATGACTTACTTCAAAATGCTGGCCCAAAGCTCTACTGGTAAATTTGGCAGAGCAAATTCAACAGCGGGGACGAAAGGCAAAATTTTATACATCATGGAAGATTTTATCGTGCAAGCAGAGGATAAACTGAATAGGTAGTGATGAGCTGGGATATATATACCCGGTACGCGTTCCCCTTCCACTCGACAAACGGTGGAGTGGGAAGCGCTGTAGTGGGGATAGGGTGCGGACGCTGTAGGTTTAAATAGCTCATTTTTTAACTATTTGTGCTTCAAATTATATTGCAAAATGTTGTTTTATAATTTTGATTTCTTTTCCAAAAATCTGAACGTTGCAAGTAAAAACTCAACACGGAATCATAAATTACATGTATAGGACTATGTTATTCTGTACAATTTAAAATCCATTTACTATGTAATACTTTGAAGTGGCGTCATCACATTATTGATGGGGATGACTAAACAAAGTTTGGTTAGCGTTTTACCATCTACATGATATTTGTAATATACATATAAAATTTGACAGCAATCGGTCTAGTAGTTTCGGAGATTATCTGCCTAATAAAAATCCGGACAGACGGCAGACAGACAGACGGAAACGATTTCTTCGTATTGTAGAGGTCATAAAGGGTCGAGAAAACGTAAAAGTAGAGAGTCGGTCGACGGAGTCAATTGCAATTAATACAGGAAGTAAAAATATTGATTAAAAACTATAACTGTTTAAAAATATGGTTGGACAAAATTCCAAAACTTCTACGACTTTTTGACAAGACAGGGATCAAGCAAACCTTTCATGTGATTGGTTAATAGTTTCGAATTAGATCTTCAAATTGAAATAAGTTTGGCGTCTTTTTCAGTTCAAAACAATAAAGTGTGGTAAAATTAAAAATAAGAGTAACTGCATAATGTTGCGTCCTCGTTGTATTTAGTCACCGTTAGATTACAACTTAAGTATCTAAGCCTGAATTACCAGAATGTATGTTAAAACTATTGCTCTTTCAAAATTTTCCTCTGCAAAACTGAGTTTGATATGCGATGATTTTTGCCTTTTATGTCTAATGAACAGCACGTAAACTGCTCGATATGCGTAAATTTCAAGTAAAGACTAACCCTCTTTGTGTACACTACAGTTAGCCACCTCAAGGCTAATCATTCCGACGTGAGATTCAAGTTAACCATTGGACAGATGGTTTGCCCTTTTGCTGGACTTTCGTAGACTGGACGACAACAAATAACCTTCAAATGTTCCATAGACTCCTGGATTAAGATTCAGTTACAGTGTAAGTCACTAAACCTTAGTTAAAGCTAACATTTATTGTTTTTACTTCCTTACTTAAGTATTGTAATCGAGCCCATCGGCCGAATTGCCACTTTCATATTTTCTCGACGTGTCATGACCCCTAGGGTACGAAAAAAGTGGTCTCGCATTTCCGTCTGTCTCTCTGTCTGTCTGTCTGGTGTCTGTGTCCATTTTTATTAGACAAGTATTCTCCGCAACTACTGGACCGATTGTTGTCACACTGTGTATGTATATTAGGAATATCATGTAGATGGTTAAACCCTAACTAAAATTTGTCTAATCATCACCACCACTGTCATCTTTTTTTTAATTTTATAAAATAAGATACTGCTGCACTTGTGGTGGGCGAATCTGTCTCGAATTTTCATCTAGACAATTTTTGGAAAAAATTCAAAACTGAACAACAGTATTTTGCAATATAGCTTTGAAACTGCAAAACCGATTGCTCTGAAATCATGAAATATTTTAAGGTTATCGTAAACATGGTAAACTGTTAAACAAAATGTATTCGCTTATTCCCTCCCAAAAAATTGCTGACGTCATTTCAAAATTTTGTCGAATAAATCCTATAAAAAATGTGAAACATATAATGATCTATACTTGTGATTGATCATTGCATTAAAAAAAATTCAATTTCGTATACAGGGTGACTCATACAAATTTTTGAAATTTGGGAATATCATTAGTAATACATTGCACCTATCTAAAATGATATAAGTATCTTTGCAAAAATGCCGATGACGTCATCACAAGATTTTGTTAAGGGAAAACTCATTTGAAACGTACGCCCAGCACGCTTATTTACATTTACTATTTAACGTTACATACATATCTTTATTTTAATTTAAAAGGGTTCTCATAAAAAAAATAAAATTCGCGAAACCAAATTTTATAATTTCTCGAAAAAGCTGGATTTGTTTTATTGTATTTCAGGGCCGAGGGAAGTTTTGTCGAAATAACTTTCGACCAATTTTTTGTGTATAGTTAGCTATCTGAAGCTTAGTCGCTCCGACGGGAGGTTTAGGTGCACCACTGCACTGATAGTTTGGCTCTTTATGTGCTGTGATCCGGTCTATGCTATCATTGTTGTAGTATATTTATTACGTTCTTAAAAACAACTAAAGCTATAGCTTATAAATATAATGATAATTTTATTCCCAACAGGTTAAAATTTAAATATAAATGTGCAATTATTTGGTTATATTTATCATCACAAAACTTGAACAAAACATTTTATCTGATAAAAATAATAATTTCCAATGTTTTATAAATAAAATTTTGTTGTAGGATTAAACACCTTAATATTCTGTATGCTAGAATTTAAACCAAATGTTGGACAGCGGACAATAAATTTTTATATTTGCCACATTGTTTTCTTTCTAAGAGATATGAACAAAATGATGCAAGACGTGATTCGAAAAAATTGTATAGGTACATCAAGTTTATTACGAAGAATAAAGTCAATTTGGTCAAACCACTCGAAATCTTCTTAAAATCTGTGTAAATTACATGTGTTTGACCTAGATTATGTGAGATATCAGCAACTGTCGAGTTAGTTCAAACTAGTCTTTGTGGACATTTACTTAATAAATGCACGTTGACCAATTTATAATATAATAGATGTGGTTATATATACAGCAATGGTTCAAAACTTTTGTAAATTGCACAGTGAATCTACTGGAGAATAATTTTGAACATTGTTTGCGTTAGCTAGATCTACTCAAATTATCACAATCTTTAAGTAAAATCTAGGGGTTCTATTTATTGTTCCTTGGATGAATTAATTTTTGTTACATTCTAGAATTTTTAAAATTTTTGCTTCAGAGAAATGATTAATCGATACTATTGGTGAAATAAAAACATTTGATGTGATATATATTTTTGCATCTGACGAAATTAATATACTTTAAAAAATGTGGTAAATGCATTCACTTTAGAAAAGTTCCTTTCCTATTCCAAAATTTAGATGGATCATTTATAATTGAATATACGAAAAAATACGGATGTACTTTTCTTATACCACATGTTAATATAGTAGGTATAGTTCGTATGGTACCTAGTGTTCATCGGTGAATATTTTTTCGCAATAGTGATAATTAATTTTATCATTTTCTTCAAAGACTAAGGATTATCAAAGACAAGGTATACGTGAAGCACTTTTGTCTGGTAAATTTGAAAAATATTTTTTTAAATTGATTAGAGCTATGCTCCAAGTCTCTAGAATATTTAAAAATACAAACAATGTTGTTAAAGTCTGTGGCTGTCTTTTACATGTCCTGATGATGCGTAACTTATTTACAAGAACGCGTCGGCGTTTTTGTCACATTTTGTGTTCTCGAGGTGTTATCGTGTCGATTTAACAAGTAGACGACCTGTTATTTGATTATCTCAGAAGGGGCTCCTTTTCAAAAATTATTCAACAGTTTTTTTTCAAGTATATTCCCTACTAGGTAGTTTTTTTGCACTTCATATTCAAGGAAAGTTTGTGTATTTAACTTGATATTCTTATATTTTTTATTTTATTATTCCCAAACCACAAATATTTTGTCATCGAAAAAAAAACACACACACAATATTACAACATTGTAATAAAAATGCAGCGCAAAATAAGTTCAATAAGTATCTTGAAAATTACATACTTTCAAAATTTGTTTCGCTTAAAAGCCCAAACATGACAGGACGGTTAAAGCAGTATGAATGAGTCTGCATCCACATAAAACTTGTTACTCACTAATATAGTGTAGTGGCACCACAATAACATTATCTACAAGTCGAGGTGTTTTTCATCAATGAGTTGCTTCTTGTGACAGTAGTGACGTCGTTGTGATGGTCGGCCCCGCAAACACGATCAAAAGCTTCAGAAGGAGCGCCATGTAATTAACAATGTCCACTAACGAGACTTTGAGTGGCGTGTGAGTCGGCTCACACAATTATACCAACAATTAAAACTAATGAAAAATGAATTACAAATTACTTTCGCGTCTGCTAATTTCATTATTGCATCTGGAAATTTTCTTTATAAATTCAATTAATTGAGCGATGAAATTATATTGTTTTAAAGAAGTGCTGTGTCGATTTTTAACGATCAGGTTGGTGTGAAGTTAATTAAGTAAGCGTCAGTCACGTGTATGTGCTAAAATAACGTCTCATATACCTGATATATGCCACGTCTTATAAGATAAATAATGACAGGGGAGGTTTTCTTGGCGAAATGAGTTCTATGGTAAGTGCGCGTTTCTTGCAAATCCCTTTCTAGATTAATCAGTATGCTGCAGCGCGCTAGTCGAGACTTATATCTGCCGTAGAGATGAAATGAAATGAGGAAAACTTAGCAATTCCTCACCCCCGTTCTCGACCTAGTACAAAACCTTATGCAACTAAGCGGCAAAGTTTGCTTTAATCGGACAAAGGGATTTAATAACAACAAGCAAACGCTGATAGATGACCAGGGGGCAACTAACTTATGGTTAATCACACAATTTTGAAAAGATTTTCTAGTTGCAAAAATTTTTACATGTACGTAAATATATTCATAAGGGAGCTTTTTCTCTTCAGATTTGGTACCTAAAATCAGTATTGACATCTTTATATTTATTTAGACTTTTGGTAGTCCGATTTTCAGGAAGATCAATTAAAAAAGTGCTTTAATCAGTACCTAGATATCACACTTTAATATAAATTTGAAAATAACGACTTACAGGGCTTCTGAAAATTCACTTGTACTTGAAAGTCAAAAATAACAAATAATGTTTAGATTGGGTGAGGTTCCTTCAACACCTATGGTGCCATCTTGTTTTAAATTTACTCCAATTAAAAAATAGTACTCTTGAAAAAATTTCTAAGAACGTGATCTTTTTATCGATTTTTTTTTTTTTTTAATCTTTTGAAGGAAATTTTGCATTAACAGTGACGGATTTTGTCTGTTAACACGCACTGGTTATAATTCTAGAGTCTTAAAATTATATGAAGGAGTTACATTTTGTATTTATAATATGTAAAAAGAAACATTGGATAAAAGTGGTTTCATTATGATCATTAACCAATCATCAGATTATACGAAGGTAAATATAAATAAAAAACGAAAAGTTATATAATCAACTAAGGCAGCATTCTCAAAACGTTTTGTGTCCATTTTGTCTAACTCCTGTTATGTCACGTGCAATTAAGTACTAGAAAATTAAAGATCTGAAATATGGAAAGTGTAGATCTTTAAAAAAATAACAACTATTCTTTTGAATGGTTAACGACTATTTGTTTAAATAGTTTACATCAGCACAAATTAAAGACTTACAATAAGAGCAACGTCAAAAACCAATTAATCTTTAATTTATACTTCTTTTTTGCAAAAGCGGTTTGTCTTTTTTGCAATTTCGCTATCAACGCAGGCAGTGAAAAATCTGCGATGAACAATTAAAAAGTACTTTTACGATTAAATAATAAATGAAGTCATTTTACGGTATCTTAAATTTAGCTTTGGAAACATATCATGTCCAACGAACATCTTTGTATCGACAAAGATAAAATTTTGTGCTGAATATCTGTTCTTAATTATAATATGTATTTTAACACATTAAATTCTAAAGAGTAAGTTCTAATTTCATTTTTTTTTGTCAAAATTCGAAACATGCACGTCCTTTTGAAAGGATGAGGGTTAATTATTTCCAGTGTTGTGAATATAATATCCTAATGAAAAATTAAAAACGGGTTGATTTTTTTATTCTCTTTCATATGTTGTGAGCATCTGTGGAGATTTTTGTCATCTCTTCTAACGCTAAAATTTATATGCAGTTTAAAATATTAATTAATAAAAATAAAATAGCACTTCGATATCCACTCATATTTTCTATAACTTA